ATGTTGATTTAAAAATTTTCTTAATGAAGCGACAACGCTTTTAATTAGCGTACCTTTTACTTCATCGACATTTAACTTAAGTGCAGAAATGTTTGCTGCAGCTGCTAATGGGTATAAGGGGTAAATTCCGCGCGCCATTGCTTCCCTCGTTCACAGAAAGAAAGTGCGTAGTGTTGTTGTCGCGTTGTTCAACTGGCTCATAAAATTAATTTGCAAGCTGTAGTCACCCATCCCACAAGCAGCCATGCTCCTTCGCAACCAGTTTTTTCAGCCAACCCCTACCATCGCACATACCTCTCATAGCGTTAATTCACCACTAAGGTAATGAACACCGTTAGTTCTGCAACATCAAAATGTTTTGGGGGGAATATCTGACATACAAGTAAATGTTTATATGTCAGCACAAGCTAAAATACCAGTATATGAAGTGCGTACATTAATTCATTGCTCCGTAAATTTGTTATTCCGCAGTTTTCTTACAGTAGCACTGGCTCTTTTAATTGTAGTTTTCCCTCAATTCACTCATTTGTGATTCCTGACTTTGGGTATGGAAATATGTGTGTGCATACGATGCTTCTGAGGGTGCTTTGTGGCGACATCAAAAATTTTGTAGCCTAGCGGGCTTATAATTTCCTATCGTATTTTTGTACACTCGTACGATTGTTAACTATGTACATTAGGGTGGTCCAAAACAAGTAAAGTCGGAATTTATATAATCTCACCCCCTAGGATTGTTCTATATCAAAAAAAAATATACCACTTTTTTTATTTTGAAATCAAAAAATATTTAGAGGTCGCACAAAACGCTCAATTTTTTTTTTTTGTATTTTATATGGGAAAAACGAATTTTCGTAGAAATGGTATCGAATTCTTGAAAATCAATATTTTTCGTTTTTGGTTCTATCCAGGAGACTTCCAATAACAATATCAAATTGTTTATTTAACCAATTTTTAATACTAACGCTTTTTTATTTATCCCCCCTTTGTATATTCTGGCATTTTCTGGCAGACCTATAAAATATAGTTACAATGAAAAAATTCTTAAATAAATAATTGGGTATTTTTACTAAGAAAAGAAACAGAGTCTTCTGATCGAAAAATATAGATTTTTAAGAATTCTGTACCATTTCTACGAAAACTTATTTTTTCCCATACAAAATACATGGAAAACTTTGGCGCTTTGAGGATACCTCTAAATATTTTTGATTTCAAAAAAAAAGAACAGAGGTATATTTTTTTCGATATAGAACAATGCTAGGTGGTGAGAACATTAAAATTCCAACTTTACTATTTCATATGCATTTTTGGACCACCTTAATGTAAACACATACATACATACATGTTGTTGGAACATTTGCTGTTTACTATTTTACGCAATTTCATTCACTTTTGAATGTTGCTGCCCTTGGTAGCTTTTATTGGTATTTGCATAATTCGACAGACATTTTTTAAGGTTGCCAGATCGCCTACAAAATATAAATGATTTCATAGTTTTTTCGTCGGGCTACTAGTTGAAGTGAATTCAGCTCTGCATATACATAAATCATTTAATTTTAATAAACCAAAACAATAGGTTCTATTGCAGAAGGTTTATGAATATATGATATGACTTAGTTAAGCGCTAAATATCTAGGTGGAAACATTTTCTTCAAAATAACACCAAAATTTTTTTATGGTTGCTACTTTCCAATTCCTATGTAGAATTACTCGGTGATTCAAAAATCGAGTTGATAATTTTTTCTATGGATAATTTCGAGATAAAAAGTGGTTGCAATTAATTACGCATATCTTACGAAAAAATTTATATTTATTTATAGATCACTTTTCGATCGACGTGATAGTTTCGGAAACAGTAATTAATAATTCCAGATTTATTTTTTTTTTTGATGATAAAATGAAAGAAATTCAATTTTTAGCAGAGAAAATATTATAAAAATAACAGATTCTGTCTAAATTTTTTGCATTTTTGTTGAAGCCTGTTCTGTTACAGAAAAAAATGAAGCTAATAATTAAGAAAATGGATAAGTAAAGTAAGTAAAAAAGGAATGAGTGGAAATGAAAATGAGCAAGAATTTATTGTATGAAAAATTAACAGGAAATAATGTTACTCATACGCCATGTACACATGAATAACCGCATTTATTTCAGCTCATACTTCATACAGAACATCCTAGTGCAATTTCACTTGACAACTACTTCATTTCTTATTTATCCATCTAACGTAAAACTCGATTTGATCGTTTCTTCTAGATTCTCTAGATTCTTGACTCTAGAATTTACGATATTAAGTGCCCTCGCAAACACATGCCCAAAATAAACTATTTTTTCGCTTTTCTCAATTTTGAAAATTTTAAATTTTTACATGTTACTTGGCAGCACTTTTCTTTGCCTATCCGTTCCAACGTTTGTAATTCTAATTGAATTTGAGAGCTGGCGTGCATGGCTCGCTATTCTCTTACAACTTGAAAGCTATGTTGCAATAAATTTAGCTTCAAACAGGAATAAAGAAAAGCAATCAGTATCCCTGGCATCAATTTCACAAGCAACAGCATGCTATTAGAGCTTTTTTGATGTGGTAGTTTCTGCTGTTTATGCTACAATTGTCTTCGCACTGACCTATACACTAACAATCGTATCTATTCTCTCGGTCAGTGTGCAATTTTGTTCTGATTGTTATCAGTTTTATGGGTTTTCTTCTATCTTCTTGCATACAGTTTGCTTCACTACGCCATCTGTTCGTTGCCGATTGTTGGTATGATGTGGCGGCGCATTTAGCGCAGACGAATAGCAAAAAGTCAACTGACTAATTGCACAAATGCAAAGCTGTTGTTGTCATTTAACGATTCTTCAAATCGTCCAAGTACTAAGTATATGTGCGCTATGCCAAATAAACCCCTTGTATTCTTCTTAATATTTGTTATATGTACCAATCTTCAGCTGCTTTGACAATTTGGCGTTAAACTCTAAACTCTCATTCGAGCGGTTTTCAAAGTTTATGGACTGATTTAATAGAAAATAAACGATATGGGTTAATGGAGAGGATAACAAGTGCGGAGCGCCCGCCGCACTCCCAATGCGAAGGACGAGTGGTTTCGACTATGGTGACTGTATCACATCAGACGCTTGACGTAAGCACACACAGTAACACAAAAGTAAATTCGGAATGCTCAAAAAGAACAATTATGTACTATATTATTTTTGTATATAACCTCGAGTACTGCAGTCCTACCCGACCCGCACTTTGCTGCCTTTACGGCAATTCATTTAATTTCCTCTTCCGACCGGTTGCGCCCCAAGTGCTTTTAGAGGGGAATGGGTGGATACGTAGAACTGCGACTAAATGACTGAGTGTGTTTATGTATGTATGTATGAATTCCTATATGCATATTTGTACATACAGCTGTGTGTCTCTGTTTGTTGGCTGTGGAATGTCAAACACTGTGCTTCGCTCCTCACTCGATTTACTCGTCCAGCAATACCAAGTGGCTCGCAGCTAACCCCTGGATTTGTCACTAAGCTACACTGTACAGCTTACCAGCCAACCACCATTACCACCCTGCGGCAGCCAACATTAGCAGCTTGCAAATGATTTTGATGCTGCACCGCTGCTGTTTCTAGCAGATACCGTCGCTGAAGATTTGGGCGCGTGGCATTCAAATGGTTTGCTGTGGCATGCCAATGCTAATGGCTAAAATTCCCCCGCCCCCCCCCCCCCTCTGTTTTTTAAATTATTTTGTTGTTTTTGCTGTTGTTGTTTCGGCAATTATATCAAGGGTTGAAACTGAAGTCTAAACAAATATAAAAAAAAAACATTAAGTAAACAAGTCGTCGGCATGTGTCGCTATGCCCTTTATTGAGGCACTGCCTCCACCCACCCGCATGCAGTCACGCATTAAGTTCTCCATGGCATGGATGTTATTATCCTGAAAGGTTATGAGTTGCAACTTACTTCAAATGACCAAAAAAGTAAACATTGCGATGCATCGTCGTGCTGCTACTTTTGTCATAAATTCCAACAAGTAAACAAAAATTTAATTTCAAGCCGAATTTTTATATTTTTCCATTAGATTGATGGCTTCGATGCTCAGATGAGTTGGAGTTAATTACGCTGCAATGGAACTGTGTTGAAGGGAGACAAGCGAAATGTATAATTTAAAATGTAAATAAGCTAGAAATAATGAAAAAACGCTTTTATAGAAGTAATGGCATTTTTTCTCCTTGTTAATTTATAAGGATTGAACTTCATGAGATATTTTGAAGCGCTTTTTTGCTAGAAAATAGCCAACATTGAGTTCTTATTATTATGTCGTTTTGCTATTTTGTTGCAGTGGACCAATTTTTAAGTGGTATTCACCGAATTTAGCAAGGGACCAGGCAGTCGGGAAAAAGAGCTGATTAGCTCAAAGCAACGAAAGTAGTCAAAATTGTTGCTTGAACTGATCAGCCCTTTGTCCCAAGCGCCAGGTCATTTGCTCAATTTAGTGAGGACCCCTATAGCATTTTCGCTTTCTCATTCGCACCGCGTTGAGTTGTTTATGTTTACTTTGCCCTCAGCCGAAGACACATTACTTGTTCGTAGTGCAAATTTTGTAAAAAATTAATTTGCATGCAATCCTAATTATTCTTTGGTCTATGCTGATAATTACTTTTAGTTTAATTAGTTAGTCAGGCGGCTAGACAAATTTGTAGGACTACCCTTAAATATTATGTCTGACAAGACGTGCCTTAACAAACAAAAATTTTATGCTTTCTCTTTTAAAAATTGGGAGGGTCAAACGTCATTTTTGGTATATAGTTTAATCGTCATTTTTGCTTAGAATCAATTGTAGAATTTGAATTTGCTATACAATTTCTTTTAAAAATTAGTTCCGAACAAGTTACTCCGCCCTCGTATACATATTTGTATAATTCTTCCTTACTTACTGTCGGGACTTCTTTGATTCCGAAGGATATTTATTCAGGCTGGCCATAGTCGCGTAGAAGCACTATTCGTGCTTGGCGGTCTTGCCAATGGATCCAACGTTCCAAAAAACAATGTGATGTGGCTGCTATAAGCTATAAGCAGTGGTTAAACTTGTAGTACTACAAAAATAACAAGCAAATAAAAAAGAGAAAAAGAGAGTTATGAAATCTCATAAAGCAAGTGCATTTTCGTTCCCTCCACAAACTCCCACACTCGCCCCTATCAAATACTTACCGCAGCGAATCCTGGCGTATCTGCTTGCATGCGCGCACATACAAGACGGACGCAATCAGTCAAACAACCCGGTAGAGTGTAGAAGCCGCTTGCACGCAGCAGCGCGTGTCCTGGCGAGAGCGCTCTCATTGGGAAATAAGCCTAAAGGATGGAAGAAGAACAACAAGTAGAATATGCGGATGAGAAGAGAAAGTTGCAAATGCGTGATTAAAAATGCAATGATGCCCGATGGCAATAATTTCATGAGAATGGATGGATACTCAGCGGGCTGCATACATAAATAGATTAGCCCGGCTGGATGAGGGCTTACCTTTGAGGCAGATTTCATCCCGTTTAAAATGCAATTTGGTAGCATTAGTGCGTGGCGGACCGCTCACCAGCAGCACGTCCTTGTTGCCATTCGCCGTGCATGGCAAATGCACCAGAAACGTCTTCATTTGCTGTGGCACATAGCCCTTGTCGGGTATGATGAGCGTGGATGGTCTTGCTCATAATCCATGTTGTTGGTGTAGGGTTACTGCAGTCGGCATGTATGGGTAAGCAGTGGAAGTCCTTCGGTACAATCCATTGTTGTTCTCGCCGTTTTGGTTTTTGGTTACATGTTGGCGAGGAAGTTAATGGAGTGCAAATTAGACTTTGAGTGGTGTACAAGTTGGGTCACACACAGCCACATACACAAATACAAACAGCCTGGCAGAAAAAATTCTGCGTACAGGGGAAACAAGAAAGGTGCGCTCCCCCAGTAAATTTATCGAATACGCGGTCTAACTCTGCTAGCGTGCACATCTGCTGGCACTGGTACCGTGAAATGCATGGCGCATGTGTTGATGGCGCCTTCATGCACATACGCAGAACAAATCCGCTTCCATGCCTGGGGTGAGTTGGCGAATCGAGAAGAAATAAGAATGAAAAAAAAAAACAGTTATAAGAAATATGTTTGCTCGCACGTTGAGCATTAATACGCAATTTAGTATTGCATCAATTTTCAAAGAAATTCGCTGCCCTTTTAGATCTTCGTTGGCGAACCAAAGAAGTAACCAACACTACCAACGAACTGATAGCAACCCCTGAAAGTTGCGCCAATACACTTGAGTAACTAATGCAAACAATTTCACTCCTGCTGCAGGCTTTTTCACTGCTTTGATCTTGCATTGGTTAGAAAAAGAATTCTTGTATTACATACTTTATCTCAAAAAAAGGGAGTGAAGTAAAGTAAAAATTGTACAAATAGCAGAAAGAATGTTTCCTATTTCCCTTTGAATGCGACACCTTCATCATCGTGCAATCAAATTTTATAGCTTTGACAAAGCTGCTTTGTACTTGAAAATGAATTTCTGGCAATTGCAAACTACAAAATGTTTCACCTTGGCAAAACTTGCTGCGTGCAATCGCACCGAGTTGGGGTGAAAAACGCGAATGTTCGAATTTCACCCAACTGTGGGTGAAAAACACTTCCCCATTTATTATTAGTGGTTGTATTTGGCTGTGATGTGCTGTCAAAAAAAAAAATGCAGACATAGTATATTATTTGTACGCGACTTTTAGCACCGTTTTAAAGGGCAACTGTTTTTGCCAGTGCTTTTAAATGCTTATGTATTTTTCACTTTTTATGTCTCTTTTATGAATGTCTTTATTCGAATAGTGATTTTTTCGCCCAAGCTTATCAAAAATACACGCAAAGATATATGTGTGTCTTTGCATTTAGAGCCGCATAAAAAATGCCGTTTTATTTCAAATGAGGTGAAATGGCAAATGGCAAAAGATTATCAGCTCTCCCAAGAGTTTGCAGCTTTAAAGGACTCGAATTTTTTTTATGAATTTTCTTGCTTTGTTGTAGAGCGATTGCACACGTTCTATTTTATGGTTTTTTATACCTTTGACCATTTCTCATAATGTGTTTGTAATTATTGGATCATTAAAAAGGGTTCCTATGATTTATCTTCAAGTATAGCCCGTATGGTAAGATAATCTTAAAAAACTTAGGTCGTCTCAAATTATGCTTAAAACCCATCTGTATAAATGGCCATCACTGATTCAAAAAGTAGATATATACCATATTTTCGCACCGGCACCCATGTGCGAGATGCGGTAACCAACCCGTGTGAAGCCTTGGGTCGAGGGCTTTGGTGTGCCAGCTCCGACGTATTCGTCGTAGAGCTAATTGAAGTCTACCAGCCTACTCACAAAAATTTTTACATCGTAATAAACCCCCACAGAGAATTATTGCGAGTGCCACGTGAAGTGAAACTTAAACTCAATCTTAACTTTAATCTTAGTCCTAATCCCAATCTCCATCCTAAAATTAATCTTAAAATTCACCAAAATTTTAATTTTAATCTTAAATTTTTTCGCTTTCATCCTTATCTTTGTCTTTATCTTTAGATTTATCTTTACCTTCAAGTTTAACTTTATTTTACAACGCTTTTATCAACTTGCAATGTTGTGGCTCCAGAAACTTTCAATGTTGTGGATCCAGAAACTTTCAATGTTGTGTGTCCGACACCATAAAACCTGTGCTTTGCAAAGTTCCTATAAAAAGTCTAGTGCATAGGGCGACATCTGTAGTGAATAGGGCGAGGTAGATGACATCTAGATGTCGCCCTATGTACTACGTTTGCTACAGCGGAAATAGACGAAACGCCATTTCTTTAAATAAAATTAATTGGTGCTCGTTTGTATGTACATACATATGTAAATGCATGTGTGTGCACCTTTCTATTAATATCGTTGAATTATTTTAATATCTATCGCAAAATTTTATTCAGACAGGACTAAAAAGTAGAAAATAAATAATATAAAAAAAAACTTTTTAATATACAACGCTTTTATAAATGGACTAAAAAGTAGAAAATAATATTTCTCAGTCCCTAGAATTTGTTTTGATAACTTTTGATTTTGAAATTTTAGCAAAAGTCGTTATAACCAATTTATGAGATTGAAAATGAAAAGCGTGGGGCGCATGCAATACAAAGCATTATATTTAATTGACAATAGGCAAACTACATAAGGTAGACCTAAAATTTCTTCAGCGAAAGTACAAATTTGAGATCGATTTTAAGCGGTCGTTATTCATATATCCATTACCCTTCATATCAATTCAGGTGGCTATTATATGCGCCCCACGCTTTTCATTTTCAATCTCATAAGTTGGTTATAACGACTTTTGCTAAAATTTCAAAATCAAAAGTTATCAAAACAAATTCTATGGGACTGAGAAATATTATTTTCTACTTTTTAGTCCATTTATAAAAGCGTTGTATATTAAAAAGTTTTTTTTTTATATTATTTTTGCTTTATGTTTGCATGTAAAACCAGTGGTGCTTTCCATTTGCGAAACAAATTTAAATCACGTACCCATGCACTCTCTTCAACGAAAACATCAAACACAATACTCACCCGCAGTGTGAATGGTAAGCAGAATGCCTATGGAAATCGCCAATTACTCGCAAATGCCGGCCGGTTTTTACACGACCAAACGGTTCAGTGCCTAAATGAGTATCCGTCAGTAGTGTGGCCAATAGAACAGCTCAACACTTGGCCACGGATATCGGCATAATTTTCGATAATTGAACACACATACAGTACTTTTCAGCAGCGTGTCGTTCAACATGACGGCCATCATTACCAGCATCGACAACCAAAGCAGCTTTAGCAACACAATGTCAATTTGAATTTTCATCGAACACAAACTGGGGCTATAAATCCATTTTCCCTTTTTCGAAACTCCAATTCAATGCTCTTAGATTTTTTTTTGGTAGAGGTTTTTTGCTACTCTTTCTGAGTTTTTTGCCCTACAAATGCATTCTCTCTGTAGCGCGTAATTGGATTAAAAATTGTTTCAAAATAAGTGGACATCGAAGCAGACGAGTTGGCATGAATATCTACCTGCTGGGCTTGTTGGTTTTTCAGTTGGTCTGTCAACAGTTTTTGCTAGAAAAAAGAGCCATGCCGTTATTGAAACACAAGTGCGAGTATATCGCAAATATTTGTATTTTGTGTTTTACATATAAGTTAGTACATATCGGCACCTGATTGGAAGATCGACCTATCTCGACAGCCAGTTCAAAAGGGTCCTATTTCAGATTTTGATTGAGAAACGCGCTATCTTAGGAAACTTTTCAAGTACATTCTATTTGAGAATTCCGTTCAAATTCTCAAAATATTTTCAATACATTTTTAGTTGATATGGGGCGATTTTGAACCAAATTCTGAAATAGGGCGTTCTTGAAAAGTTTTATAAGATTAGGTGTTTTCGAACTGGCTGCCGAGATAGGCCGATCTCCCACTCAGGTGTCGACATAATACTATATAATTTTACTTTACTTTACAAACGCTACCTCTTGACTACATTTTATGCTTTTTTGCTAAAAACCGAATAGTTATCTAAGAGCTAATTGGGCGTAGAAGAGGACAGGCGCAGGCCAAGGAAGGTTAGGTTAGATTGAGCGACAGTCTTCATTACGACTCACCCCGACTCAGGCTCATCTTTGATACCGTATGAGTTTTACAATTATCCCCATTCTGCTATAAAGCACGAAATAGGCTTACATTAAGGTCATAAAAATTACGAATACAATCCCACCCTCCCAATTTTACCACCCCGTATAAACAGGTATTGATTATATTTCGCTTGAGGGAAGGCAGGTCATGAGCTTGGTGTTGGTTGTGCGGATCGATTGGATGTACCTGGACCCTGAATACCGGGAGCTGATGTTGTGACTCTTGGGCACACAAACTTGACCGCTGAGAAACCCAAAAAAAAACCAACTTATATCAGTAAGACTTCCTACCCCTCCATATCCGTACTGGATTCTGAGTATAATTATAGTTTTCTAAGAAGGCTAACTGCGACAAAGAAGTGATTGTGGTTACAAAAAGATTGTTGAGGATCATTTTCGTGACAACTGGCCTGATACCTTACTATAAGTTAGTCTTTAACAAGCTTGTATTTGAAAATATTGTAGGAGAATGGCCCGATGGCCGATAACTAAAACTCGCCGTTAAACCTTTTTCAATTTTAATGTTGGCGCAGCCTACGATTGTTTATACATCAGCATGGAATACAGTGGACCGTCAGTTCCTTAGATGCCGGTATCGGTTTTTTACATTCTGCACCCCTAACTAACAGTACTGAACCCACTTGTCCAATCTTCTCGATCTAGCTGTCTTGCATAAGAATATTAATATTTCTGCTTACTTCACCTTTAATCTCATGGCCATAGTACCCGCCAACCACAACGCACTACCCAAAGGGCTCGCGGTTTGCTAGGTCTATCAATTGAGGAAACGAAATTTCAGACACATTGGCATTATATACCAAAACTATCACATCACCGGCTCAGCCACGCAGGAAGCAAGGCAAAATAGGATAACAAGAATACCAAACGGAGAGCAGTGTTGGTTATTTGCTGACTTTATCTTGCTTTGATTGTCCGTCGTTGCTCGTCTAACCCGCGTCTGTGCGCCTGGGTGTTTGCGCATTGACTCATCTACTACTGTCGATGGGTTTGTTTAGACGATAGCGACCTTTTCCTTGTGCCAGCAAAAGTTTCATTTCAATATTGTCGTTTTTGTTGTTTCTGGCGATGCCGCTGTCATTGGCTTTGTCGCTTGGTAAAAGACGCTTTTGTCAATTGCGAATGGTGAATGGATTAGCAATAATCCCAAAGATTGAATAATGCAGCAAAGAAATTTAATTTCACATCTTGTGCTTTTAAGTGCACTACGCCATACAGACAAAGAAGCCACCGTGGGCTACGGTGCGACAGACAATAGCAAGCGCCCACGAAATGGAGGGATGCATGACTAAATATGGAAATCTAACGCTGCTTGTTTGCCAGCACAATATCACCCATCAAAAGACACTTAAAT